CATGCTCACCCATCTGTAGTTGTAATAAATAATACTTTGCAGTTGGAAATACGCATAAAAATCAAGGAGTTGTTGTCATGAGTCTAGTGTTAAATAATTTGAATTTTAAGGGGGACTGACTTTTTCCCTTAATTTGTACACTTCATTGAAGGCTGTATATTGTTTAAACGGTTTGGACCATTTGAACAATCTTGGTTTGTGGTCAAGTTATTATTGACTCGTGCAAAACGTGAATCATTTCTGAGCAATGCTGGTGTCGTATCACTGCATTATCGCAATGTGGGTGTCGTATCACTGCATTGTGGTGTCGTATCACTGCATTGAGGCAATATGGGTGTCGTATCACTGCATTGAGGCAATATAGGTGTCGTATCACTGCATTATGGCAATGTGGGTGTCGTATCACTGCATGGTGGCAATGTGGGTGTCGTATCACTGCATTATGGCAATTCAACAGCAGTGACATTGCTGAAATAACTAGTGCAAATGGTGAACTCACTCACATGCAGTCTAACACTTCAGATGTTAAATATGTGCTAGTTCTTGCAGGTGTAATTTCCATTCAGGTGTAGGTAGCATTCTGGTGTACATTGCATTTGGGAGTACATGATTTAGGTGTACATTGCATTTGGGAGTACATTTAGGTGTAGGTAGCATTCTGGTGTACATTGCATTTGGGAGTACATTTAGGTGTACATTGCATTTGGGAGTACATTCAGGTGTACATTGCATTTGGGAGTACATGTAGGTGTACATTGCATTTGGGAGTACATTCAGGTGTACATTGCATTTGGGAGTACATTTAGGTGTACATTGCATTTGGGAGTACATTCAGGTGTACATTGCATTTGGGAGTACATTCAGGTGTACATTGCATTTGGGAGTACATTTAGGTGTACATTGCATTTGGGAGTACATTCAGGTGTACATTGCATTTGGGAGTACATTCAGGTGTAGGTGTATCCAGGTGTACATATATTCAGCTGAAGTGTTTGGGGTCATTGGTAAGTATTATACTGCTGTTTACCATGTTTACTTTGTCATAGCTTGCGTGGACCTGAGTTGGGGGGTCAGTTTCAGCCTTCTCCCCAGTCACAGTTTTTGCCTTGTGGTGTGACCTCATAAATCTGCCCGCTTGTCGTCGAATGACATTCTGTGGGGCCATGCTGCTTAGAATTGATTTAGTCAACTGTGGCAACATTCTGCCTGTTCAGAAAAAGATCAATGATATATTCAGACATTATGACAGATATGCCATGTTTACTGAACAAAAAAGTTATTTGTAAAGATAGTTTTTGTAGTGAGGAGTTTCTTTAAATGTGTACAGTGAATAAAAATAATTCATGACCCCTGACACTCATCTTTCAATACATATATAGATATTTGACCAAGTTGGCATGGTACTTGCTTATATTTGCATTTTGAATTGAAAACACTGAAATCGGAAATCTGGCCATCAAGAATTGTGGTGCACCAGAGATTTATCTCGTATTTTAAACTAAGTGCCCTTGGCTGACAAGTTCGGGGGGAAATGGTAATCTTGGATTTTCTGCTTATTTCCATATATTCAGGGATATTTCGACATTTTAGTCAATGCCAAATTGTAAAACTAAACATTATGGCTTTTTGTTTCTTGTTTTTTGGTCCTGTTGCAAGTAACGACTGCAAAGCATTAACATGACTTGGCAAATTTTTAATTCCAACATGGGAATTTTTATTGACATATGCTCAAACTTGAGGCAAAGTTGTCTCTGTCCTGAAGTGCGTCCCTTGAGCACACCAGAAACCTATGATAGTGGGCTCACATCAACCTAACATGCCGTGATATAACTGGAATATGGTTGATAGTGGCGTTAACTCACTCACTCACTCACTCACTCACTCACTCACTCAAGGCCACATATCGACCTCTGAGCTGGTGGGGATAAATCCATGTGCTCGTCCTTGTGCCATGCGACTTGCTCCAGACTGACTCCAGTCATATTTTGGTGGTGTATTTTACGCTCAGCTGAGAGTCCACATGTTAACACTAACATCTACTTATGCCATGAGACAGTTTAGTGCTTGTGCACAGAGAAGATGTTGCGCAGACTGCTGCTGACGAAATGAGAGGTAGACATTTATGTTCCTTCCACTCCCATTTATCATACATGTCTGAAGCGAACATTTGAAAAAAACAAAGAATTCATGTAGTGAATTCATGCATGATTGATACCAGAAAAACATGTTGCATAATAGGCCAGTCTGTATGTGTGTGGCTGTGGTTGCGGGGAGAGATGATAGATTTCAGTGTCTCTTCTGAATTTTCAATAGCAGTGTATGGAGTAAGCATTAGTATCACTCTGCATCAAGTGTTTTTGACATTATGCTGTATATTATACCACAGTTATACAGAACCCGTGAAGATCTGGGGTAGAATTGGTCTTCAGTAACCCATGCTTGCCGTAGGAGGTGACTATGCTTGTCGTAAGAGGTGACTATGCTTGTCGTAAGAGGCGACTAACGTGATTGGGTGGTCAGGATCGCTGACTTGGTTGGTGCATGTCATCATATCCCAATTGCGTGGATCGATGCTCATGTTATCAATCACTGGATTGTCTGGTCCAGACTCAATTATTTACAGACTGCCGTCATATCTGGAATATTGCTGAGTGCGGCGTTAAACAACAAACAAACAAAATATTATACAGATGACAATAACATGGTATTCATGAATAATTGTTTGTATTAGTTAGCTCGTATTCTGATATGTATCACAATTTCTTTTCTGTGTATTCAATACAGCCCTGGTACATCCAATGAATCCTTGTGTAGCGAGCTGTGGATTACTAAGTATTTGTAATCTGTTCCTTGACCCTGTGACCGCCTCCATGGTCTAATGGACAGTGGAAGTTAGGGGAATAGATCCCCAGCTGCATCATACCAATAGATGTTAAAAGATGGTATTTGCTGTTATCCTGCCTGGCCCTTTGTATTATAAAATATTATAAAACAAGTACTGGTCAGCTCAGAGTCGGTATAGTACAGAGTAATACAAGCAGACGCTCCAAAGGGACACATACACACACTCGTGCATGCATGTCAGTTTGTCACTATATAATTGATACTCAGCACAATTCCTGTGCTCGTGGGTTTCATCGAAGTGGTAAACTTCTGAGACCTATACCTCACGTCACCTCACGTCACCTCACGCCACCTCACCTCACCCCACCCCACCCCACCTCACCCCACCTCACCTCACCTCACCTCACCTCACCTCACCTCACCTCTACAATATAGACATTGTTTCTGTGTACCTACAGCAGGAATATTTGAGATGATAGTTTCACCACCTGCACCAAGTCTTGGCCATGGTCCCAGGTTGTGAATAGCTGTCTGAGTTGTAAATAGTTGCTATGGAACATTTTTTCATATTCTACCCTCAAAAGCAATGAAGAGCATACTAATAAAACACACTGATCCAGGTAGTTGTTAATAAGTAGCAGAATACCTGACATATATTTTGCAATGTCAGCCAATTCCTATTCGTTACCATGGCATTCTCACTTGCAGAAGCCTTGTATATTTGTATTCACAGTCGGCTGTATTACAGTAAATCATGGCGGTATGTAAATAACGGGCTGTATTTAAAAAACAAGTGTCTGGAAGACAGTGGAAGTTTCCTGGAATTCTCCAGGATTCCAAACTAAGTGTAATTGGGGTAACAGCGGTACATGGATAACTGTTAATAGTTTTTAGCATTACTTTTGTATATTACTTCTTTCTTTCTTGTTGTTTAACACCGCACTCAGCAATATTCCAGCTATATGCGTCGGTCTGTAAGTAATCAAGTCTGGACCAGACAGTCCAGGGATTGACATCATGAGCATCGATCCATGCAGTTGAGATATGATGACATGCATCAACCAAGTCAGCGAGGCTGACCATCTGGGCCAACTTGTACAAACCGATCTTAGCCCTATGACTGTCATAAGCCTAGGTTAAAGAATGCGAGTTACGATCATCTTAGCACTAAGATCACTTTGTGCAAGTGGGCCCATCTGATCCCTTTTAGTCGCCTCTTATGGCAAGGGGGGCACGGGTGGCCCAGTCGTCTAAGGTGCCGCGATTCGCTGTGCAGAGTTGCGTCCCCTGGGCACGCCAGAAACCTATGATTGTGGGTTCAAATCCCGTTTCGCCCCGATTATGTTTCTAGGTTTGTCAGCACCGTTTCCGTGCTCGTGAGTTTCACCGAAGTGGTAAACGTCTGAGACCTGCATCACACGCCGCGATATAACTGGAATACTGTTAAAAGCAGCATTAAAACCAACTCCCTCTTACGGCAAGCATAGTCTTCTTTGTATATTAACATTGCATTGCACATAGTCAATACAGTAGTGTACAACAACATTTGAAAGAAGCTTCTTTTCCCTTTTTATCAGTCAATTACATGTCATTGGAAGATCTAGAGGGGGTTTCAGGGGGTCTGGACTCCCCTTCACCCCTCCTCCATTCTTGGAAGCCAAATGAAGTATGTTGTAGGCGGTAATGTCTGAGAGAGGATTTTGATATTTTGGACACCTCCCTTTTAAAAAAGGCTGGATCTGCCCTTGCATATCATCTACATTTAAGATGTTTCATCAGTTGTAACTATATTAACTGATTAGAACTACCATGGTGAATTGGGTGACTTTAGCTGCCCTTTTCTTCTGCAAATATGAAATATATACATGCCAGAAACCTAGGATCGGGATTCTAATCCTGGTTCGACCCAATTATGTACCTGAGATTCAAGGGTTTCAACGAAGTGGTTGAAGTCTGATACCTGAGAGAGAGAGAGAGAGAGAGAGAGAGAGAGAGTATATTGTTGATGATGGTTTGGTTCCAACATGTGAAGTCCCTCCTACATCAATATTCAAATATACTCGATGTAGGTGGAATAGCGAGTGAACACACACGTGCCAAATGGGAGTAAAACATAATGTATGTTTTTTGGCTAATATGATCTGTTTTGTTTTCAGCGGAAAAAGAAGCTTTTGTTACCTTGGCAACAAATGACACATATGCCTTGGGATGTCTCGTCTTGGGGAATTCCCTCCGTCGCGTGGAAACAACACGGAAACTGGTTGTCATGGTAACGGATGGAGTTACACTGTCAATGAGGTGGGTATGACATGGTTAAAGAATGGGGATATTGATGGTTGGGTGGGAGATATTGATGGTTGGGTCATGGATATTTATGGTTGGGTGGGAGATATTGATGGATATTGATGGTTGGGTCATGGATATTTATGGTTGGGTGGGGGATATTGATGGTTAGGTGGGGGGATATTGATGGTTGGGTGGGGGGATATTGATGGTTGGGTGGGGGATATTGATGGTTGGGTGGGAGATATTGATGGTTGGGTCATGGATATTTATGGTTGGGTGGGAGATATTGATGGATATTGATGGTTGGGTCATGGATATTGATGGTTGGGTGGGGGATATTGATGGTTAGGTGGGGGGATATTGATGGTTGGGTGGGGGGATATTGATGGTTGGGTGGGGGATATTGATGGTTGGGTGGGAGATATTGATGGTTGGGTCATGGATATTTATGGTTGGGTGGGAGATATTGATGGATATTGATGGTAGGGTCATGGATATTGATGGTTGGGTGGGGGATATTGATGGTTAGGTGGGGGGATATTGATGGTTGGGTGGGGGATATTGATGGTTGGGTGGGGGATATTGATGGTTGGGTGGGGGATATTGATGGTTGGGTGGGCGAATATTGATAATTGGGTGGGGGATATTGATAATTGAGTGGGTGATATTGAAATTTGATTGGGGATATTGATAATTGAGTGGGGGATATTGATAATTGGATGGAGGATATTGATAATTGGATTGGGGATATTGATGGTTGCATGGGGGATATTGATGATTGGGTTGGGGTTATTGATGGTTGGGTGGCAGATATTGATGGTTGGATGGGGGATATTGATGGTTGCATGGGGGATATTGATAATTGGGTTGGGGTTATTGATGGTTGGGTGGCAGATATTGATGGTTGGTAGGGGGATAATGATGGTTGATGGTTGGGTGGCAGATATTGATGGTTGGTAGGGGGATATTGATAATTGGGTGGTGGATATTGATGGTAGGATGGGGGGATATGGTATGTCAACATTATATTTTGAGATTTTATTCAATGCAATGATATAAAACTAATCATTACAACCCCTTCCACTTTATTGGTCCTGTTATCAATGAGATACAGCTTTCCTTAGACTAACATTTAGTCTCTGAAATCTTATATAACACAATATCCTTCTTGACTCTAAAAATAATAAAATATTCCTTATGCTGATTAAATAGAGCTAGCTAGAGCTGGCTAGACTTGCTTTTGTATTTTATAAATTATTTTTTTTCATAAAATAAATATATTCCACAGTCATGGTGCAGGACTAAGCTTCCCTCTACAAAGGCATTTATTTTAATGACATTGGTTGTAGACATTGGGCCGAACATTGGCCTCTGAGCAGGTCTAGATAAACCCCTGGGGATATTTCTTTTTTTCTCACACTATAATTATCTGTACTGCCCAGGACACAAACTAATATCTTCAACTATTGTAATGTTGGTTTCAGAGACCAGTTGGGCCGAGTATTTGACCTGGTGAATGAGGTGAACGTTTTCGACAGTCACGATGCTGTCAACCTGCAGCTTCTAGGTCGCCCTGACCTCAGCTGTACTCTAACCAAGCTCCACTGCTGGCGACTCACACAGTACCACAAGTGTGTTTTTATGGATGCTGATACTCTGGTAGGAACGTGTTTTTATTCTCTCATGTCTTGCCATATTTACAAATGTTTAAACCTGTGAAGATCCGGGGAAGAATAGGTCTTGAGTAACCCATGCTTTCCGTAAGAGGCAACTATGCTTGATTAGGCTCGCTGACTTGGTTGGTGCATGTCAGCATATCCCAAATGAGAAGATCGATGCTCATGATGTCAACCACTGGATTGTCTGGTGCAGATTTGATTATTTACAGGCTAACAACACAATGTTAATGTTAACCCTTATTACTCAAAGACAATGTCCCAGTTTTACATTCAGCAACCCATGCTTGTCATAAGTGGCGACTAACAGGATTGGTCTGACTTGCTGACTTGATTGATGCATGCCATTGTATCCGAATTACATAGATTGATACACATGACGGCAATCACTGGATTGTCTGGTCCAGACATGATTATTTACAGGCCGCCATCATATAGCTGGATATTGCTAAGTGCTAAATAACAAAACAACAAACATGGGTAGCTCATCATGGGTTGCTCATCATGGGTTGCCTAATGCTCATCATTGTTTAAAACTAGTCCTGATGTGGGCTCAACACCCTGGTGAATAGTCCCCCTTTATCATATGCTCCACAAAAAAAGTAACCCAAAAGTTGTAAAATTGTAAATATCTGTCGGAGTGTTGCCAACGTCCATACAAACTAAGTACCAAAAATGACTGAGTCATTACTGCATGGATTGGCATTGATTTGTGTGGAAAGTATGAGGTTCTGCAGACATTTGGTGAAAAGAAGGAAAAACAGAAGAACAGAATCACGTGACAAGTGAACAAGTGAACAAGTGCAAGTGAACATGACACAATTGACGGAAGCCCAACGCAACAAGGTCATCGGCTGACTGCAAACAGTAGAATCATCTTCCTCTGGTTTTACCACATAGCACCAAGCACCATAACAAGACATTTTTATCAGACACACAGGACAACACGTGACTCTACCAGATTCGGTCGACCGCGTATTGCTACAAGAGCACAGGACAGATTCATACGGCTAAGTCACTTACATTAAAGAACTACTACGGCCCCCTCTACAACGATATCAGAATATCAGCACAAACAGAGAGGAACCATTTACGTGCTGAAGGTATTCACGCTAAACCACCAGTCCGAGGTGTCATTTTGACTGATGGAGACAAGTTTGGTTCAGTGACGAGTCATGTTTTATGCTTTGCTATGCAGATGGTAGAAGTCGTGTTAACAGGCGTTAAAAATCGATGACACATAAAATATCATCTAAAATCACTTTTGTGTTTCTTGTTTTGCAGAGTATATATAGTGGGGAGGTATAAGGGTCCTTGTCATAAGGGTTAGAATAGGTCCACAAAATCCTATACTGGTCATACGAGGCTATCAAATGCATTGGGTGTCCAGCTTCAGTGACTTGGATGATTATGTGGATCTTGCTTTCTTGCTCTCACTCATGCTGTTGCTTTTATGCTCTCTCAATAGCTCTCACTTTCTTGCTCTCCCAATAGCTCTCACTTTCTTGCTCTCCCAATAGCTCTCACTTTCTTGCTCTCTCAATAGCTCTCACTTTCTTGCTCTCTCAATAGCTCTCACTTTCTTGCTCTCTCAATAGCTCTCACTTTCTTGCTCTCTCAATAGCTCTCACTTTCTTGCTCTCCCAATAGCTCTCACTTTCTTGCTCTCTCAATAGCTCTCACTTTCTTGCTCTCCCAATAGCTCTCACTTTCTTGCTCTCTCAATAGCTCTCACTTTCTTGCTCTCTCAGTAGCTCTCACTTTCTTGCTCTCCCAATAGCTCTCACTTTCTTGCTCTCCCAATAGCTCTCACTTTCTTGCTCTCTCAATAGCTCTCACTTTCTTGCTCTCCCAATAGCTCTCACTTTCTTGCTCTCTCAATAGCTGTCACTTTCTTGCTCTCCCAATAGCTCCCACTTTCTTGCTCTCCCAGTAGCTCTCACTTTCTTGCTCTCTCAATAGCTGTCACTTTCTTGCTCTCCCAATAGCTCTCACTTTCTTGCTCTCCCAATAGCTCTCACTTTCTTGCTCTCCCAATAGCTCTCACTTTCTTGCTCTCCCAGTAGCTCTCACTTTCTTGCTCTCTCAATAGCTCTCCCTTTGTTTCACTCTCAATAGCTCTCACTTTCTTGCTCTCTCACTAGTACGCACTTTCTTGCTCTCTCAGTAGCACTCACTTTCTTGCTCTCCCAGTAGCTCTCACCTTCTGGCTATCATTACACGACAATGATATTGCTCCAAGTCGTGTACAGTTGAGGTGTTGATGGTTTTGATGCAGATGAAGATGTTTTTAATGATGACGATGGTGATGATGTTTCAGGTACTACAAAATGTTGATGAATTGTTCGACCGCGACGAGCTCTCAGCAGCCCCCGATGCAGGTTGGCCCGACTGTTTTAACTCCGGTGTTTTCGTGCTGGTACCCAGTTTGGAAACATATTGTGCTCTTGTACAGTTTGCGATGACGCAGGGAACTTTCGATGGTAAGTAGGATTGATTTGTTTATTCTCTTGTCACCTTTGTTACAGTCAGCAATGAGTTGCCTCCCTTACCCATACCAGGATTTGACGATCATCAAGATGTTAGACATCTTTAACCTGCACCACAATTAGTGTCCAAAATAACTGACTGCCTGCCTGCTCGTGGCTGGTAACTTTTCTGTCGGGCTGCATGAAATTTTCCTCTGTCTGCCCGACTGTCTGGCAGATAATTTTCAGCCAACTTATGTATTCAGTTTAATTGTAACTCCTTGTAGATTCTCAAGTAATTGTAAGCATTATTTCAACTTAATCAAGAAGCGATTTATAATGTCTGACTGTGGGCAGGTAACTCTGAAGACCCAACTTTCTTGTTGGGTTTTATAATTATTTCAAACAGTGACCACAACTGTAATCCCCGACTAGATGTACTAGCAGTAATGAATTAATAGGGTGTTGCAAATCTCTCCACAGTGATACTATATCAATAATATGAAAATAATATGACATATATAACTTCCTTCATTCTGACAATCAGATGTCAGTTTTCTAAAACATCTCGACTACATTTCTTTACCACCTTGATTTGGAAATTTGGGTTTTCACAAAAGAAAATCCACAGATATTGCTTCGATAGTACTATCTTATTGCTCGGATCGATGCTCATGATGTCAATCACTGGATTGTCTGGTCCAGATTCGATTATTTACAGACGGCCGTCATGTAGCTGGAATATTGCTGAGTGCGGCATTAAGCAACAATTAAAAAAGACTTGTAGTGGCAGCAATGGCAGCACAGCAATATATCCACGATGTGAGAATAATGTGCTGTGTAGAACTCCATTCAGTCTGACAAATCCCTGGTGTAACATGGACCGCCTCCGTGGTCTTGTGGTAGAGCGTCTGCCAGGAGAGCGGAAGGTCCGGGGTTCGATCCCTGGCTGCGTCATACCAAAAGACATTAAAGATGGTACTTGTTGTTACCCAGTCTGGCGCTCGGCATTAAGGGGCTAAAACAAGGACTGGTCGGCTCGGAGTCAGTATACTGTGTCTGAGTGGGGTATTCATGTTAAACTGCGGCATGGTATCTCAGTGAGCTAGCACTATAAATCGGCATCAGTCCGGACTAGTACAAGCAGCCACACACACACACATACATTTGCATGCACGTCGCTATATAAATGCAATAATCTCGGTCGCGACGTTAAACCCAATTTCACCTCACCTTGGTGTAACATAATTGTCATAAGAGGCAATAAGAGATTATTTCCATTTTGTTTCCAGGCGGTGACCAAGGTCTATTAAATCTGTATTTCCATGACTGGGCGACACAGGATATAGCGAAGCACCTTCCCTTTATCTACAACGTTGTGTCTCAGGCGTTCTACAGCTACCTACCAGCATTTACACAGTAAGTTTGTCAACCATAGCCGTATATTCTTCCCGCGGCGGGGGCACGGGTTGCCCAGTCGTCTAAGGGGCCGTGATTCGCTGTCGGAGTTGCGTCCCTTAGGCACGCCAGAAACCTATGATTATGGGTTTGAATCCTGGTTTACCCCGATTATGTTTCTAGGTTTGTCAGCACCATACCCGTGCTCCTGGGTTTCACCGAAGTGGTAAACCTGCATCACTTCGGGCTTTCCTCCCAAATTAAGCTGACACGCCGCGATATGACAGAAATACTGTTAAAAACGGAGTTAAACCCAACTCACGCTCTTCCTGCAGCAAGTGTGTCCACTAGCCTACATTTTAGTCAAGTGTTATATCTCTATTAATAATCTTGCAAGTCCATTGGTTAATTCGTACCATGTGACGAAACAGTGCATTTCAATGTCGACCCCAAAATCATGTGATTGACACTGACCTTGAATATTGACTTGTCACATAATCAGTCTTGACTTGTCACATGATGAACATTGACTCGTCTGCTATACAAGTGCGGAGAGCGGAAGGTCCGGGGTTCGATCCCCGACCACGTCATACCAAAAGATGTTAAAAGATGGTACTTGTTGTTGTCGCTATATAAGTGCAATAATCTTGGACGCGATGTTAAACCCCATTTCACCTCACCTTATTTATAATGTTTAACTGGAATAAACAAACACAAACAAATGTGTGTCATCACACTCATTTCACAATCATCCCCGTCAAGATCCGGGTTAGAATTGGTCTTTAGCAACCCATGCTTGTCGTAAGAGGCTACTAACGGGATCGAATGATCAGGTTCACTGACTTGGTTGATGCATGTCATCGTATCCCAATTGCGTTGATTGATGCTCATGATGTCAATCTCTTGTTTGTTTCATCAAGACTCGATTATTTACAGACCGCCATCTTTTAGCTTGAATATTGCTGAGTGCGGCGTTAAACAACAAACAAAAGACTAAAAGATCTGCATCAGATTAGATTGTCTTCATGCCAAGAGAAGGCTGATCTGCTCACACCATCTCCAATACAGGCCACCCATACATAGGCAGATTGTTGTAAAATATTCACAAGAAAAACATGTTCCAGTGATAGAAACTTCCTGTTTTCGTCCCCTAGTCCTTACGATATCTTAACTGTTCGGCAGTTTGGGGCAAGGACTAAAGGACTAGTGCCAATTTCTAACGCTGCAGTTTCACATCACTATCTTTCTATTCAGATTTAAAGACCGTGTGAAGATAGTTCATTTTATCGGTGCCGTGAAACCATGGCACCATGCTTTCAACACGTCTACCGGTGAAGTGATGCCCCTTCCAGGCACTGGACACAGCCAGGAATTTCTCCAAATATGGTGGAGTTTATTCATGCAGACAGTGCAACCCTTACTGGACCCCAGTGCGGTAGGTCATCGGCATGTCATTTATGTACGGTCATAGGCACCCATAGAGGCCCTGCAGGGGTTTTCATGAATATGCACATAACTGTGGGATGAGAGTTCTGGTATTTTTTTATATTTATATATTTTTTATTTTATATTTATATTTTTTATTTATGATTTTTTCGAAAGGATTTGTACATGTTGTAGATGTTAACTGCTTGAAATGTTGATGCACATTGTCGGGGAATGTAGAGAAAGGTCTGGGTTGTTTCCATCACGTTAAGTAATGTTTGGTGAGATTAGTGCAATAATTGGGTTGAGAACAACGTATTCGAAGCGATCTTAGTGATACGACTGTCCTAGATCTTTGGTATTCCTGGTTCGAATTGATCTTCAGCAACCCATGGAGGCGACTAGGGGGCACTTGTGGCCCAGTCGTCTAAGGCGCCGCGTTTCGCTGTGCAGAGTTGCGTCCCTTGGGCACACCAGAAACCTATGATTGTGGGTTCGAATCCCGTTTCGCCCCGATTATGTTTCTAGGTTTGTCAGCACCATACCCGTGCTCGTGGGTTTCACCGAAGTGGTAAACGTCTGAGACCCGCATCACTTCGGGCTTTCCTCCCACATTAAGCTGACACGCCATGATATAACTGGAATACTGTTAAAAGCGGCGTTAAACCCAACTCACTCACTCACTCATGGAGGCGACTAACGTGGTCTGCTATTCAGGCTCATTGTAAAGGTTTGTGTATGTCACATAGCTGGAATATTGCTGAGTGTGGCATTAAACAACAAACAGACATCGCCCTATGCTCAGACACCATGAACAAAAATGTTCTTTTGTGAAATCAGCCCCAGACTTTTCACACACTTCAGTGAGCTGAGAAAATATAAAGTCTAGCCTGAGCATGGAGTGGCTTTCAAAGTCAAAGAGAGCAGTGATGTTACCTAGTGGTTAAAGCGTTAACTTGACACACCGATGGCACTGGTTCAATTCCCCACATGGGTACAATGTGAAGCCTATTTCTGGTGTCCCCCATCATGATATTGCTGGAATATTGCTAAAGGCAGCATCAAATCATTTTCATGCAAATTCGAGGGAAAATATTTGGTAATTTTTTCTTTCTTTTTTCAATTAATATCATCTGATCATCACTTGATTGTTTTTTTGTTATTGCTGCAGAGTGTCTCATCGGTAAGTTGACTATTCCTGTATTAGGGACATATATCTTCTAGCTTCAGAAATATATATCTACTTCTGTTCGTTCTGCAATAACACCAGATATCCACTCTTCTCTAGCTATCAGAACACACTGGCCAGGCGTATATTGTCTTGGATTCACATGTCTTACTGCACATTTCTACATAACTTTGACACAACACTGCATCATGGGTAGATTTCTACATAACAGCACTACATCATGGGTAGATTTCTACATAACAGCACTGCATCATGGGTAGATTTCTACATAACAGCACTGCATCATGGGTAGATTCTACACAACAGCACTGCATCATGGGTAGATTTCTACACAACACCACTGCATCATGGGTAGATTTCTACACAACACTTGCAGTGTTCAGAATTAAGAATCAGCATCAAGAGGGTCTTGTCTTAACTCAAATGTGAGGAGTTCTAGGTTATGGAGGCGCCAGGTTCCACTACTTCAGGGACCCCGGCAACACCTTAATTTTGAACACTGGTCACTGAGAATCAAGTAGTCGGACTTGTTCCTCATATTCAGTCACTAGTTTTCCCTGGTCCAGACTCATTGACTATTGCTGACTATGCCATCAGACAACATTCACTCATTCCCTCATTCACTCACTCACTCATTCACTCATTCACTCATTCCCTCACTCGGGGGGCACGGGTGGCCCAGTCGTCTAAGGCGCCGCGATTCGCTATGCAGAGTTGCGTCCCTTGGGCACGCCAGAAACCTATGATTGTGGGTTCGAATCCCGGTTCGCCCCGATTATGTTTCTAGGTTTGTCAGCACCATACCCGTGCTCGTGGGTTTCACCGAAGTGGTAAATGTCTGAGACCTGCATCACTTCGGGCTTTCCTCCCACATTAAGCTGACACGCCGTGATATAACTGGAATACTGTTAAAAGCGGCGTTAAACCCAACTCACTCACTCACTCACTCATTCCCTCACTCACTCACTCACTCACTCACTCACTCACACATTCCCTCATCCACTCACTCACTCACTCATCCACTCATTCACTCACTCACTCACTCATTCACTCATCCACTCACTCACTCACTCATCCACTCACTCATTCACTCATCCACTCACTCACTCATCCACTCACTCACTCACTCATCCACTCACTCACTCATCCACTCACTCATTCACTCATCCACTCACTCACTCATCCACTCACTCACTCATCCACTCACTCATTCACTCATCCACTCACTCACTCACTCACTCACTCACTCACTCACACATTCACTCATTCACTCATTCACTCATTGTACATACTGACATTGTGTATTAGTCAGTAGTGGTTGGACAATACAACTAGGCATCGGTGGATCACGATATTTTCGCACACAAAGTAAAACATATCGACTCATTCCCTAAATGTTTACTTTAGTGGCTGTTACACCAAACACTAATTAGTAGTGAAAATGAGTAATGAAAAAGTCAATATTTTTATCCATTGCACCATACTTGACACTACCAACTGTAAATCGTCAGTGTGCCAGGTATTTGACCATCCTGTCTATGAAAAGATGGCTTAAACGCCGCAGATAAGAGCAGATACAAGTATCATGATACGTATCGGATCGTGAACAAGGTATCATGATACATATCGGATCGCACAGTTGGTGTCGTCCCAGCCCTATTAATCATCAATCATGTACGTAACACAGGACTTGTGAAGACCCGGGTCTTCAGCAGTTTATTCTTCTTGATAGAGGCAGCAAACAGGATCAGGTGGTCAGGCCGCTGACTTGGGCGATGTATGTAATCGACCCCCAATTACATAGATCGATGCTTATGTTAATCTCAAACAAATCATTCACTCTGTTGAAGACAGTGATACTCTTGTGAAGGGAGAAATCTTGTGATGTGGTGTGGCTGGTGAGTGCTTTAGGGGAAAGGATTGCGGTGATAGTTTGGGCCAGCATGTTCTGAAGAACATTCAGTGTATGTCTACAGACAAGTGTAGAGGGCACAGGTGACCCTGTTGTTGCAGGCGCCACAATTCACTGAGCAGAGTTGTGTCCCTTTGGCTTGTCAGGAGCCTATGATCATAGGTTTAACTCTCGGTTTGCCCTGCCTATGTTCCAAGGGTTGTCTTCGTTATGCTCACTACAGGCTTTCATCCCACGTTTTTATTTTGTTAGGACATTCGTCCCAGGGGTTAAACATTAAACTTGTTCTTGTTTGAAGGGAGATAACTCTAAACCTTTCTTTTTCTAAACAAGGGTACAGAGTTGAATTAACAGACTAATCAAAACGAATTTTACTGAAGAAAGAAAGACGTACCATATTCATAACATTTCATCATTCGGAAATCCTACAATTAGTGGAATAGTGTAGAAATTGTAATACTTGCAAAATTAGACGTCTTTTTTTTTCAGTTGTTGTGAAAAAGTTGTTGATTCATGTTGATGTTGTGCAATGTTGTAACATATATATAGTGAAGTATGTTAACCCTTCCCTTGCCAAGATCTGTTCCAAATTTAAGTTTGGGATGTTAACATCAAAATCTCCCAATATCTATTTTGTATACCATGGTATACAGTGGTGCCATGTTGCTACCTGGAACAAATTTAATCTCATTAAAGTCAGATCTCAGTTCTTGCTATCGCTAACCGAAGATTTGAGGACATCTCATTACGGGTCATATCCGATCGACCTTTCATCCGACCAATCAGAGTGTTGCTTACAAGATCAGGAAAGTGATAGTAGGAAACTATTAAAACAAAGATCTGAGGGCATTCCATTGTGGGTCACTTTGACCGACCAATGAAATGACAAACAAGAAGTTGACATTAGCTAATCAGAAAGCAGCTTTCTTAAGCTTTTCGGCACTACTTTCAAACTGGCGAGTTCTTAGACTGGCTCCCATTCGTTCCTGCGGGAAGTGGTAGCAGCGACACTAAACAGAGGATCCGGGAACCAGTCTTGCAACTTCCATTCCAGACTACGCTTTGAAAACTATTGATTGTAAAATTGAAAACTTAACAAACGGAAATTCGGGATTGTCTAATTGATGTCCATGATTGTATATCTGTCGTTTAGAAAACCAATCTTTGTTTAGTGATAGCGAGATCTGATAGCTAAGATCTGATTTGAATGAAATTGAGAACAAATTATGCTCGATTTTAAAAAGCCTGACATTTCTTGACTGGTTTGAGTCCACTTCCTGGCATGTTTGAAAGGGTTAACAGTGTTGTAGTTTGATGTTGTTTTTCAATATACTTAGTCTCCTGCTTCTGTTTAGGTTCTTCCTTTTTAACAACTGACCCCAATTGTTTCCAACCTCTTTCATAATTTCCCTCAACCCATTCAAAATGAGACCCGTGAAGATTCCGGGGTAGAATAAGTCTTCAGCAGCCCATGCTTGCTGTAAAAGGCGACTATGCTTGTCGTAAAAGGCGACTAACAGGATCGGGTGGTCAGGCTTGCTGACTTGGTTGATATAGGTCATCGATCCCAATTGCGTGGATCGATGCTAATGATGTCAATCACTGGATTGTCTGGTCCAGACTCGATGATTTTACAGACCGCCGTCATATAGCTGGAATATTGCTGAGTGCAGCGTTAAACAACAAACAAACAAACAAAACAAACAAACATTCAAAATGAGATGAATTGATTTACTCCAAGATGAAAAAACAACAACTGCCAGCGATGTTTCATATGCAATTTTTCCCCTTTGGTAATGTGATTATATCCTCCAGGGAAACGAAATGGCATTGCAGCTCGCTCTGTTTGTTTACAGACGCCGTTTTTACGGTTTGAGTACGTGTCATCAAAACAACACGAAACATCTCATCCCGTCTCCGAATCCCATTCACAACCCACCTATCAAGTTGTCTTTCCTTACGTTCCACCAACACTGGACCAAGTCTTCTATGCCCCTCCTTCCCACGATGCAACACACCATCCTGAGGGATCATGGGATAGCAATGGCGGCCCTGGTCCTTGTGTTGTAGAGATTTCATCCGAGCCAGTTAGATCATACATGAGCATAGAAACACATTATACTGAAGCACCTTTATCCCAAATTGACCCCGACGGTCCACCAAAGGATCTCTATTCTGCTAGCGAATTAGAATCAACCCTCACTGTTGACGACACCCCTGTCAAAGATGAGGCTGGTTCAACTGATGAGTCACTAGAGGGCTCTGGTGGTTGCCATGGTGCTAAAGACCTGGATGACCTTGAGACTGACGTAGGTCATGGGTCCCACCCAGTCGATATTGAGGATGAAAATGGCAATATTATTAATAACACTTTGTTGGTAAGTTTGAAAATGGCTGACACACACTGTTTGTTTGTAATCGCATATCATTATAACTTGGCATTCTGGCAGTATATGAAAGCAAAATACAAATATATAGAGAGAATCTCAACCGAGTGTTATTTGATGTCAAATCTATCAACAAGTCCGTGGAAGTTTTAAACTCAAATGCTTGCTGAGGCGTTTTAAACTTTTATTGACAAGTGTTGACATATTTTATATCTAAAGACACTCGGAATATTTTATTTATCATCCAAAATCAATCCTCCAAGTTTTTCATTTTTCAACTGCGGAGAGATTATTTATGTCATTTGACTGTGACATCATCATGACTGATGACATCACAATGGTGTACAAAGCATGTAAATTTTTTTTAGCAATATCTCCTGGGTTGGTCTGACCCAAGCAATATCTCCTGTGGAGGCCAGATTTGGATGATAAATATGGTTTATTTCAGTTTATCAAGTCCTTCTGTTGAAGATCCCTTTTTCCATTATTGAAGACTTTCCCAATCTCATTAAAATCAGATCTTAGTTCTCGCTACCGCTAAACAAAGTTTGAGGACATCCCATTACAGGTCACGTCAGAACGACGCGAATTTTGACAGACCAATGAAATGACTGACAAGAAATCGACATTAGCCAATCAGAAGGCAGCTTTCTTGAGCTTTACGACACTAGTTTCAAACTGGTGACAACGCTTCAAAACATATTTTGACGTATTCTTGATTAAAAAAATTAAAACTGATAAGAAGAAAATTCTGGAATGGCTTATAGATGGCCTAGATTGTATGGATATGATCATAAAACCCGTAACTGTCGTTCGGAATACCCCTTGTTAAATTTTTCGTGGTTGCATGATTAGAAAACAAATTCCGACTGTCACTTTCATGATCTGGTAAGCGACGCTCTGATTGGTTGGATGAAAGGCTGTTCTGACGTGACCCTTAATGGGATGTCCTCAGATCTTTGTTAAGCGGTAGCGAGAACTAAGATCTGATTTGAATGATATTGAGACTTTCCTGACTTATTGTTGATAACCATGCTGTGTGTTCTGTGTTCCTGTGCATGTTGCATGTACCCAGAGTGATGTATTAACTGGTAGTGGGAAGATACATCAATGCATTTGTGTATCAAGGTTTTTTTATCTTGATACAAGTGTCGATCACAGTCGCAAAGGAAGACATATCGATTCATACCTTATTTGCTTTAATAAACGTTACACCAAACACTAATTAGTAGTGAAAATTAGAAGTGAAACATAAATAATTTTATCCGGTGCGCCATACTCGACACTGCCACTAGTAAATTGTCAGTGTGCCAGTTTTTTGGCTATTCTGTCTTTGAAACAGATGGCTTACACACCAGAGATAAGAGCACATGTAAGTATCGTGAGCAAGGTATCGTGATATGTATCAGATCGCACAGTTGGTGTATCGTCCCAGCCTCAGTATTAACACTTGTGAACTTGTCCATGGAGAGTAGGGGCGGTCGGGTAGCCTAGTGGTTAAAGCGTTCGCTCGTCACGCCAAAGACCCGGGTTTGAATCCTGACTTGGGTACAATGTGTGAAGCCCATTTCTGGTGTCCCCGCCGTGATATTGCTGGAATATTGCTAAAAGCGGCATAAAACCAAACTCACTCACTCACTCACTCCATGGAGAGTGACACTTTGTATAAATGAGTACGTGAAGGGAAATTGGTTTAATGTCACTTTCAAGATTATTGTACTGAAACACGAAGTGAGGGTCTGCATGCTTGTACCTGTGTTCTAGACGGGGCTAATACTGTATACTGACTCCAAACTGACCAGTCCTTGCTCTATCCTCTTAATGAAATAACAAGTAGCATTTTTTGGTATGATGAAGCCAGGGATCGAACCAGCAACCATATGCGCATTGGGGAGATGCTCTATCCACTAGATCTGATATTAATCACTGGATTGTCTGGTCCAGACTTGATTATTTACAGACCGCCATCATATAGCTGGAATATTGCTGAGTGCGGCGTAAAACAACAAACCAACTACAGCTTAAAATATGAAAATGACTCCAAAATGTTTTTCAACTCTGGTCATCATTGTCTGAGCAACATATTATTGCTTGCAGCAATATGTATTGTAAAAGTAACAGAAACGTTGTTTTACGTTTTCTGTGACCATGGTATTTATTTGAAAGAAAAACGAGATGAATATGTTTTTTTTCTTCAGCTTAATCACTCTGTATATGTTTATTTAGTCTCAAGTCAATACCTTTGATGGTTGGTTGGGAAAGCCTTGTGGTTCAAAGTTCAATTACCAACATTGATACAATATTTGAAGCCCATTAGAGGCTTGCTCACTCGCTCACTCACACTCACACACTCACTCACTCACTCACTCACTCACTCACTCACTTTTACAGACCGCCGTCATATAGCTGGAATATTGCTGAGTGCGGCGTTAAACAACAAACCAACCAAATCACTCACTCACCTCACTCACTCACTCACCTACCTCACCTCACTCACTCACTCACTCACCTTACTCACTCACTCACTCACTCACTCACTCACTCTCACTCACTCACTCACTCACTCACTCACTCACTCACTCACTCACTCACCTCACTCACTCACTCACTCACCTACCTCACCTCACTCACTCACTCACCTCACCTCATTCACTCACTCACCTCACTCACTCACTCACCTCACTCACCTACCTCACCTCACTCACCTCACCTCACTCACTCACCTCACTCACCTACCTCACCTCACTCACTCACTCACTCACACACTCACTCACTCACTCACTCACTCACTCACCTACCTCACCTCACCTCACCTCACTCACTCACTCACCTACCTCACCTCACTCACTCACTCACCTACCTCACTTCACTCACTCACTCACCTCACTCACCTACCTCACTTCACTCACTTACACACCTCACTCACTCACTTACACACCTCACTCACCTCACTCACCTCACTCACTCACTCACCTCACTCACTCACTTACACACCTCACTCACCTCACTCACCTCACTCACTCACTCACCTCACTCACTCACTCACTCACTTACTCACCTACCTCACTCACTCACTCACTTTTACAGACCGCTGTCATATAGCTGGAATATTGCTGAGGGCGGCGTTAAACAACAAACCAACCAACCAACCAACCAAATCAATCACTCTCACTCACTCACTCACTCACTCACTCACTCACTCACTCGGCACCACTTGTATGACCAATTTCTAGGCCAGTTTGTAAGTAATGTTTATAGGCGCCCAATACTACGCCAAAGTTCACATACAGTCTGTATTTTCTTGTGTGTACATCATACAAGACTGACATTGAGCTGGGCTATATTACAATGAGCTCATAACAGCTAGTACTTATGATGGTCAATATTGTATCAACTACTCTATAAGGAAGAGAATTTTTGGATGTCAACTTCTTTATTACAGAACACAACATTTTGGAGTATATGCTTACTCCTTCATCAGGTGAATGTATGCTAGGATGCAGAGAACATATATATATACAGAAGGACAACAAAAGTAAATACAAAGGTGAAAACTTAAGGGAAGCCAACAGTTAATTGGTGCTGATAGGTGATTAGAATGGACAAATGAAAGCCAACACTTACCGTATTCAACCTAATAAGCGCCCACGACGATATTTGCTGATATATTGGCTTGTGAACAATCCCATTTAACACCCCTTCCGATTGATCAATGTACACAAGACTTATTTATTCGTCTATAATACACAGTGGTGTGTTATATGCACCCTTAATTATGGGCAATTTAATTCTGGAAAAATATATCTGTCGTATATAAACATTTCAGGCTGTCAGCATAAACCATGAAATTTACGATCCTTCAACACTGTTTTTTTTCACCAAAGCCCCCTGATTTTGAGAGCGCCTGGGTGCTTATTATGTCAAATACGGTAACAGTAAATTAGCTCTTGATAGGAGATAGGAATGGACAACTGGGAGTGAGGACTTAAATTATCACTGATTTGTAATGGACAATGGACAAACAGGGTAATTAGCTCTGATAGGTAATAGAATGGACATGGCAATGGCCAGCTGGATAATTAACACAGACGATACTCAAAGCAATAGGCACTGGGCAGATGAAGGAGTAAGCGTATACTCCGAAATATTGTGTTCCTCATAATAAAGAAGTTGACATCCATAAATTCTCTTCCTTGTGTATCACTTCTCAATGCCACTGAGACTTGAAACGTGGCTATATTCAGTGAGTGATTATTTTAGATCCACCATCTACCATGAGTTTTAATAACATCCCCTATTTGGGAACTGGGAGTGTGAAAGGGTTGAATGAACACAGTGATGTCATGTCACAAGAACCCTCTTTGGAGTGACATTCAAGGCAGAGTTATCTCCCTTGGTCTCGCATGGTGGCCGGTTTCTTTCAGCAAGGCATCTGTCTGCTATCTCCTTCTGTAGAGCTGACTCACCTTGTCTCTGTGACATTTCTCCATAAACATCAATGTCAATCATTGAGCAACAATAATTTAATTTTTTTTAGTCCTGTAACAGTGACAGCAAGTATGGTTCTGTCTGGAGATTTTTGTGCCATGATAGGATGACAAATGTATTTAGCACAGGCCATGAGTGGGTTGCATAATGGTGTGTGTGCATGTGTGAGTGTGTGTGGTGTGTGCGTGTGTGGGGTGTGTGTGCATGTGTGAGTATGTGTGCATGTGTGTGTGTGTATGCGTGCGTGCATGGATGGGTGGGTGTCGTGGGGTTTGGGTGTGGGGTGTGTGTGCATGTGTGAGTATGTGTGTGTGTGTGTGCGTGCGTGCGTGCGTGCGTGCGTGCGTGCATGGGTGGGTGGGTGTCGTGGGGTTTGGGTGTGGGGTGGGTGTGGAACATAAAACAACACTCATTTGTGTTTTAGATTTCTTTTTTGTCTTAATACCTAAATACTCTTGAAATCAGAGAACTGTCTTGAAATGGTTCAAGGCAAGTGTGGTTTA